ACAAGGAAAGCAAGAATTGTTCACATACCTGGAGTTGTTGTTGGACATGGAGAAATATCTGTGGAGGAAATTCAGGGTTTGAAAATGTTTATTTTCTAGTATATGACAAAAATGATTAACAGCAAAGAAGACAAAAAAAAACACAATCAAGAAAAGAGACAAAAAAAACCAAATACAAGAACACACCGTTATTTTTAACAACAGAAAGTTTACACTGAAGTTTAATAGATGATTCTAAGTAACCGTAGCTTTATATTGATGAGCACATCCTGGCCAGATACATTCAATAAGGTCTTTGGCTAAAGCACTTTTCTGTAGCAACAGCGAGAAGATTTCAGTGCTTACTTGAGATTAGTTTACAAAACTCTCCATTAGAAGGACGGAAATATCATCGAATTTTATGTGAAGAATGACATGAAGATGTAATGAAGGGATTTCAGAGTTTAGAGTGGGCGAGTAGGGATAGATATAGATAGAATAATGTGGTGTGGCTTGACATTGGGTGAGTCTATTTAAGAAATTGGATGCATTCCACTTTGCAATAAGTGAAATTCACCACGGACCATGATGGACCTTTTGTGCATTTCCACAAAAGGTATTTAAGGTATTTATTTAATCAGCAACACTGCTCTTATCATCTTAATTCCCATAGAAGCAGTAATATTTTATTAACAGCAGCTTACTTGCGAATTTTAAGTAAGCTCAACAAATATAAGCAAACACAAATTTTGTCTGTGCAGTTTGGATCATAGGGTATCTTGCTATTGCAAATGTACCGTTTCTCTATTTTCTATGGAGAGTAAACAGGAACCTTAATATGCAATAAACAATATAGAGAAAAACACAAGATAGAGAGGACTGGAGAGAAGAAGTTGAAACTGAAGTTTTGTTTTTTTGCCATACTGTAAAAAGAGTTTAAAAAAACAAAACAGGATAATTATTTTTGGTTGGTTTGCATTATTGGGGGTGTCTGTGCTGCAGAGCAAAGGGTTAGAAACTGGCCGTGACAGAGGCTTACTTGAGATTGGCTCACAGAACTCTCCACCAGGAGGAAGCTCTTTGATGCATTCACAGGTGTGCGAGGTGACATTACTGCATGCACCGTATTGGCCACACTTCTCACATGACCAGGCAAACTGGTCCTCACACTGACACTGCTGTCCTCCAGTGGAGTTTGGATAGCACCCTGATAAACACATTTAAGACAATCACCAAACACAGCTCATAAATCATGCACCAGAGTATGAAAACATTTAAATGTGACTGAGCACAAAATTCTTACATGTGGTGAAGTTCAAGTCTTCTATTATTAAAGACCCAGTGATGTTTTGGGGGAAGGACACATTTCTCACATAGCCTCTGAATAGATCAATGAAATTTGGGGGCAGACTGGATATTGGGAAGAGCAAGTTCAAGTCTATATAAAACTCCACTGGCTCTGTAGAGGAGACAAGGAGAAAATCATCACAAAACTCTTTCATAATTATGAGAAACAACATTTACATAAATTGTTTATGAACAAACACCTCATCTAACATGTTTCTACTTCTTTTGAGATGCACAGGACCAGAAGAAGTACAGAAGTGAAGGGCCACACCTCTTAATTTTTTAATTCAGATTTTTTTCAGCTCCATTTTCACAGGTGTAAAAAAACAAAACAAAAGAGCACCTAGCCATGCAGTCCACCTTTTTCAAACATTTATGAAAGGATGGATCATTCTAAAGAGCTCACTAACTCAATAACTACTGAGGTCCAAACCTCCTCTGGCATCAGCTTAAAGACATGAGTTTCCTTGGCTGGGCAGCTGCAGCTGCTCCAATTGAACATAAATTATTAAATGTTGAAAACAACATTGATTTTGATGCAAATGTTTATTATAATGATGAATAATATTCTAAATGTTATTCAAGAAGAAGTGTAATAGTATTTGTATATTGCATTTAAATAGTAGATGCATTTATATAAATCTTGTTGAAATTGGAAATTATTTAAAAACATTAACTCATCGGTTTCAATTGACCTAGTAAACCTAGTCAGATTACCAAAGAAAGTATAACCCTTATTAACAAAATGGTTTTTCCAAATGCTCATTTTTCAATAACAAGTGGATTAATTTTAAGTGATGGAAGTTATCATATCCCTGTTTTTTGGATTATACATAATTCAGATGTCAAGTGTTTATTCAATGTAAGTGAACCACCTTAAAAATGAGTCACAAGAAAGAATTATGGCATTGAAGACTGATCAAATAAATGAAATTTAGGATGATGTATCCATATTGATGACCCACGTCAAGCATACAATGTATAATTAGGAAATGCTGGTTGAAAGAAAAAAAAATTTTAAACTATTTTTTAAAATAGTGAGAATGTCAGAGTATTGAATATTAAAAAGTCTTGAAGATATCTAAAAATCTTTTGTAAGAATAAGTACAAAGTGGACAGCTCAGATTTACTTGCTTAATAATAATAATAATAATAATAATAATAATAATAATAATAATAATATAGTCCTGTTGCAGTTGATTTAAGAACTTGCAGCAGCTCTACACCAAGTAGAGCTTGGTGAGTAATTTCCAAAATGCTCACTATTTTGCTAAAAGAGAGACTCTACTGACACACTAAAATAATAAGCTTATTTCTGCTAATATCCACAATCTAATTTGTTCAGTCACTACACAGAGTTCATGACAACAACTCATGGTTAAAACCTGGATCGCATGCTTAAAGGAACAAATGCTTTGACCACATCAGGTAGCAATTCCTAAAAAAAACGTCAACTCTACAAGAACATCGGAGTTGATCCAGATCCACTTAAAATGATGAGCATAGCTGAAAACAAAAGACAGAGAAGATATGAAGGGGACAGAACACAGAATAGTTTTAGTGTCCGGCCATAGATACTCAGGGATAGCAGAATGGTAAACTGAATATGTAATGGCGACAGCCAAAACAGCTTTCAAATTTTTGTTCCATAACCCTCAGGATCATTTAAGAAATTTCAAATGACTGTCTTACTACAGCCCACCTCAGCAGTGATGGTGCGCTGTGAGAGATCCTGCTTATGCAGTTAAACAACCCGACTACGTTAAACAAAAGAAACCTTTTTTGTCTTTGGCCATCGGAATTACAGTGTGACTACCTGACAGAAAATGACAATGAATCCAGCAGTAAAACAGCCCGTTTCAGTTTTTTTTCAATAAATTGCATGCTCAAAAAATGATTTATCTTATTCTTATAAAGGAGTTCGAGTCTCCAGAGGGAAAATCCTGGGGTTCGAGTCCCCAGGCCTGTGTTTTTGTTTCTGTCCAGCGACCGCTCGCTGTTTGTGTCCAGGCTTTATTAAATGAAAACATCCACAACACTCCCATTCTGTCTTGTTGCATTTTGAATCTCCACTTGGATCCTTGTTAATATCCATCCATGCAAAATATGATTTTTTGACTTTTTGCAGGTGGTCTTAACCTTTTGATTGGGACTGCATATGAATATATAAAGTATTAACAGAGATTAAAGTTATTAACAAAATCACATAAATAGGGTGTAGTTGCAGATCATTTAAATACGGATGTAGTTACAACAACAGTCATGCAGTTTTTCAGAATTTAAATTGCAAGTGATGATCAGGAGCTCTAACAAAAACATTTATACTTTACATTTCATACATCATACCATATGTTGTAGTAGGCATTGTTATTACTGGTGTTGTGACTGTGAAAACAGAAATAAGCAGCAGTTCAGATTTCAGCACACTTTTCTTATATTTCAACCTTCTCTTTTCTAAATGCAGCCATATAAATAGCTGTGTTGGTACAACAAAAGTGATTCATGTTTTAGATTTTACAGTGCAAGTGATAATCTGGAGCTCACATACAAACATTCATTCTTCACTTTACATTTCAAACACCATACCGTTTGTTGCTGTAGTTTCTGGTGTTGATGGTGTTATGGCTATAAAACAGGGGGAAAAAAAGCAGCAGTTTAGATTTCAGCATACTTTTTTGTGTTGTAGATTAATATTTTTAAATGCAGCCACAGAATCTAATTTAAATTACCCTTGCAACGTACATATTATGTCTTTAATATCAAGTGTTTGTTTTAAGGACATGAAGCAGAACACTTAATGTGCCGTGGTTATATATTATCACCATATACTTTGGATAAAAGGAGTTTATTATATTTGAACTATAAATTATTAACAATTAGTGTTAATTAATTTATAATAATGTATAATTATAAGTAATTATTATAATAAATAATTGTGTTATAATATTAACACAAATGACATTGTTGAAAGACTTTAGGTTAGTAAATACAGTGACTACAAATTTTGTAATGATATTTACTGCAAAACAATACTTTAAAGAAGGAACAAGGAAAGCAAGAATTGTTCACATACCTGGAGTTGTTGTTGGACATGGAGAAATATCTGTGGAGGAAATTCAGGGTTTGAAAATGTTTATTTTTTAGTATGTGACAAAAATGATTAACAGCAAAGAAGACCACAAATCAAAAATGAAAAACGGAGAAAAAAGGAAAAAAGATCAAGAACGCGCCGTTATTTTTAACAACAGAAAGTTTACACTGAAGCCTATGTTTGATAGATGATCCTTTGTAACCATAGCTATATGTTGATGAACACCTGCTGGTCAGATACATTTATTAAGGTCTTTGGCTAAAGCACTTTTCTGTAGCAACAGCTAGATTTCAGTGCTTACTTGTGATTGGTTTACAAAACTCTCCATTAGAAGGACGGAAATATCATCGAATTTTATGTAAAGAATAGCATAAAAATGTAATGAAGGGATTTTAGAGTTTAGTCTGGGCGAGTAGGGATAGATATAGAAAGAATGATATGGTGTGGCTTGACATTGGATGATTTTAAGTAAACAATGTGACTGGATGTGTACATCTGTATTGGTGTATTTGTAGGTGGTATTCCTTTGAGACCTACTTTTAGGCCACTAAAACTGACCCAGTTAATTAAACTAATGCACCAATCTCAGGGGGAGTGTGGCTGACAGGACTCAACCTGCAAGGCTACTCAGTTTAAAATGTTTGAATGGGTCATTCTGAAAAGCTCGTGAATTCTAGAAAGGGTGGTATTGTGATCGTAATAAACAAGTCTACTTAAGAAATTGTATCTCTTCTCTATGTTTCATGATATCTGGGAGTGGTAATATCACAAAGTGGATGCATTCAGCTACAAGTAGTTCATTTGTGATCAGGTCACAGAACTCTCCAGTGAGAGGAAGCCCTTTTATGTACCTGCAGGTTTGTGAGGAGACATTATTGCAGAGTGCAAGATTTTTAAAAGGAGAATGGGAGGCAGGATCTTCAGTTTTCAGACTCCTCCTCAGTGGAAGCATAAAACCAGCTCCAAGATTGGATTTGGGAGGCACTCTCTCTCTAACTTTAAAATATTCCTTTTTGACAGTTAGGAATAGTTGTTTTGAAATGGCCTTAGAATATTTTAAATTGGATGGGAATAATCAGGAACACTATTAAATACGTTTGGTTAAGAAGTTTATTAAATTAAATTTGTACGAGATAAATTCATTAAAGTGTTGGTTAATTCTTTCTTGTTGCCAGTCTGGAATTGTTTGTGGTGGAAGGTTTGGAGATACTCCTTAAAAACAAGAAAGTAAAGCCATCCCACAGGCCCGTGTACACCCTCAGAAACAACCCTTTTGTCCGTCCCATCATGGCTATGTGGCCATGGTGAGAATTAAGTCAACACAAGGCGTTTAGCAGTATTGCTGAAGAGAAATGGGAGTCAATGGAGTTATTTTGTTTAGGTGTCATGAAATTTTAAGTAAGCTCAACAAATATAAGCAAACACAAATTTTGTCTGTGCAGTTTGGATCATAGGGTATCTTGCTATTGCAAATGTACCCTTTCTCTAATTTCTATGGAGAGTAAACAGGAACCTTAATATGCAATAAACAATATAGAGAAAAACATAAGATAGAGAGGACTGCAGAGAAGAAGTTGAAGCTGAAGTTTTGTTTTTTTGCCATACTGTAAAAAGGGTTTAAAAAACAAAACAGGATAATAATTATTTTTGGTTGGTTTGCAATATTGGGGGTGTCTGTGCTGCAGAGCAAAGAGTTAGAAACT